TGTGAGATGGAGGGAATATTATTTATAATAGTATTTTATTCAATATGTTTTTAAGAAAAATAAAAAAATATACTTCCTCCGTCCCATAACAAAGTATCTATTTTTCCATTTTAGTCCGTTCCATAACAAAGTATCAATTTCCTCTTTTAGTAACTGTACTATCTACCTAACATTACAAATACACTTACAACTTACAATGTATTACACAAATGTCATTACCTTTATATCACACGTACTAATAAGATTATTTTGGTTATTTCTATTTTATTTTTATTATATCTCAATATAATATTAATATTTTTAAAACTAAGTGCAAAAAGCAAATGAATTCTTATTTCTGGGACGGAGGGAGTATATTTTTTTTTTCATTTAATATAACTATTTTTACACATTGAATACTCTTTGACTGTGGCAGTATATTATTGTCATTGTTATTGTTGTTTTTATTTCAATTTTCTTGGAAATTAATTAATGTGCCCAACTGCCAACCGCTACTCTATGTAATAAATAATTTGGTGAATGAAATTAATTATGGATTTGCCAGTAGTGGTGTGTGTGTTGAGACATTTATGTTAATCCAATTTATTTCATTAGTTAAAAGAAAAAGGATAATTTAATTAATTAGTTAGTAATTAAATTGATTGTTGGAAATTTAATTTATGGTTAAAGGTATATATATATATATATTAAAATTAATTAATTGGCGAGTACGTAAGAAATATAAATACTCCTTCCGTCCCATTGAAAGGTTGTCATTTTTCATTTTTGTCCGTCTCAAAACAAAATTACCATTTTCTAATTTAGTAATTATACTATCTACCTAACGCAATAAATACCCTTCCAACTTACATTATATTACACAAATGATATTACTTTTATATTACACAATACTAACAGGGTTTTTTTTTTTTTTTTTTTTTTTGTCTTTTTCACTACAACTCATTATAATATTAATATTAAAAAATTTATATGTAAAAAGTAAACGGCAATCTTGCATCGAGACGGAGGAAGTATTTTTTAAAAAATAATTAATTGAATTACTTATAAATTATTCGAGACTTCATATTTAATTAACCCTGTGAATTTAATTAACTGTCGAGCTAAATTAAACTTGAAATTTGAAGTTTGGAATTTGACTTAGTGAGACAGAATTTTGTTTTATTTAGAGCATCTTCAACCATGCTCCATATCTGGCGTTCCAACATCATTTTTGCCGCCGAGCTGCTCTAATCCAACGCCATTCTCAGCACCAAATTTTGGTGTTGCACGGTAGCAAACGCTATTTTTTTTTTCAAAAAAAAAAATTTAATTTTTTTAAAATTATAAATTTAATTTTTATTTTTTTAAAATTTTATTTTAAATTATAAAAATAAAAAGTTGTTTAAAATAATATGAAAAAATGAATATTTGAAGAATAAAAGTAAAAAAAATGGAGTTATGGTTGGAGTAAAATTATATAGCAACCGCATATTTAAAGTTAAAACTGAATAAATGGAGATGATGGGTTGAAAATGGCCTTATATAGCCATTATCTATGTCATTATATCGATTGTATAGTTAATTATATCGATTGTTTGTCTGGTCGGATTCAATCAATACTTATTAAGTTAGAATTTTCATATTATTTTAATATGTGGAAATATATATTTTTATTTCTCAATTCCACTTATAATGATAAAAATATATATATTTTTCGATCTCAATGAAACTCTTCCGCCCTTTGGCAGAATAACGCTAGCTCATTCATTTATTTGAAGGTTGAACGCAACACCCATACGGGGTGACTAGAGCTAGTTTAGTTTGGAAGCTATTAAGTTCAGTTGAAATTTAATTATAATGTACTCAAATAGTAGCGGTTGCGAATTATCACATTATATAAAAAAAATATTGAATGTTATTGTAAGGGATGGCTTAGTATTGGCCTACTTTGCATAGTATTAAATTCCGTCAAAATTTACTCGGAGTGCATTTAAAGAGTAGCTGGTTGCGGATACATTATAACAAAAAAAATGTTGAATGCAACAACCTCATAATGGGTGGCTTAGCGTTCTTAGTTTGCAGGCTATTAGATTTAATCCAAATTTACTTACAGTACACTTAAAGAGTAACTACTATGGATTCTCACGTCATAAGTAAATATTGAATACAACGGCCTCACAAGGGATGACTTAGTGCTAGCCTAGTTTGCAGGCTATTAGATTCGGTCGAAAATTGTTCAGAGCGCACTTAAAGAGTAACGGTTGTTTATATTCATATCATAAAAAAAATGTTGAATGCAACGACCTCATAAGGGATGCGCCTCGTGCTAACTTAATTTGTAGACTATTAGGCTTAGTCAGAATTTACTCAAAGCGCACTTAAAAGTAACGACTGCGGATTCCCACGTCATAAAATAATATTTTGAATATAACGCGCAAGGGATGGCCTAGTGCTAGCCTAGTTTGTATGTTATTAAATTCAGTCGGAATTTACTCATAGCGCACTTAAAGAATAACAGCAGCAAATTTTCATATTACAAAAAAGAAAAAAAAAATGATGAATGCAACAACCTCGTAAAGGATGGCCTAGTGTTGGCACAGTTTACAGGCTATTAGATTTAATAGGAATTTACTCAGAGCGCACTCAAAAAATAGCGACTACAGGTTCTCGTATTATAAAAAAATAAAAATTTGAATACAATGATATAGTTTTAATATGACATTTATAACCTCGTTCTCTAAAAGTAGAAGGGTCCTATATAATTATACATATAGATGTCATTTTCTCATTTCTACGTACCGAAACAAGAAATTCTTTTCTTCAAAATATCTCGTATGTTCTTCTATAGCATACCAGCTTTCCTCATGCAGCATTTAAGTAGCATCACAATCTTCCATAGCTTAATTTTTCGCTATAGTCTTATTTGTTAGAATTTCCTATATTTAGGTGCTAGTTAAACCGAAAACGAAAATCATTTTATCTTTACGCTGCTAGAAATACTATCAAATGTATGTAATTTGCAGGTAAAAAAGTACTTCCTTTTTTTACTACAAGTAAATAGAGCACTTAAGTCTTATACTATTTCCGATCCTTAATTAAAAGAAAGAAATAAAAATAAATTTTTATTATAGACAAATCAAAATAAAAAAATAAATAATTTGTTAAGCGGCTAAAGTAGAAGATAGGATTTTTTCTTTTTTTTTGGTATCTTGTTTTATATTTTTATCATTTAAATATTGGATGTATCATGTACGTGATATTTAATGAAATACTAGTATTTATTTATTTTTTTATAAAAAATATGAGATTTCATAGTAAAAAGAAGAACTTGAATGCTCTAACTACTTGTAGTTTAATTTATATGATTTTTTTATTAAAAAAACAATATTTTCTTATGCAAATTATTACATTCAAATCACTTTAAAATAAAACCTGAAAATTAAAACAAAAAACTAACAACTAATAACATATTATAAAAAAATAAAAAATAAAAATGTAAGCATCACATTTTGCGCACAATAAATATATATATTATTCAAGTTATCCAGGCCCAATTCATAATGGGCTTTAATAAAATATAAGTGATATTGGGCCGATCCCATATTGGGCCAAAATATTTATAAATTAGCCTACCTCAGACTATGGAATAGATTAGTAACTACAGAATTTTATTAAAAGAATTTTTTTTAAAAAAAAACAATATATTTATTAACGGGTCGAAACAGTTTTGGACTGAACACTTATAAATTAATTTTTAATGAATAAAATCGAAATGGAGCCCACATTAAAGTCAGACCTGAATTTATTATACGAAACTCGATCCAGAGCCTGTTAAACCGGTCCGATACGGGCCGGTTCTGGACCGGTCCGGCCTAACCTTATATACTATCCTAACTTACAAAGTTAGCTTACGCGAAGAGATACTAGCAGGTCGAAATCGGCTACTTTTGTCGTATCACGGGAGTCCCTCCGTCCAATTAGATAGTGCCACGTGTGCCACTCGCGCCAGTCCCGATTGCCACGCCAAATGAAAGAATTAATTTATTAAAAATAAATGAGCAAACTCGATAATTAATTAAAATATAAATAAATAAATAAATAAGAAAAATAGATAGAGAATACTACTGAAAGAGATTTCTCTCTCTCTTACTCATAATGATCTCTTCGATTCACTCGCGATCTGCGTAAAATCAAGGGAGTAATCGATTGATTGTTTGTTCAATCGATTCACGAGGAGGAGGTAAGATCATTGCTGGCTGTTTGATTGATTTTTTGAAACGACTGTCGCCAATGGCGTCGATTGGAGGTAGCAATTTCAAGCAGATTTACTCGCCGCCGTCGCTCGAGTCCGACGCCGACTCTGCCGCCGCACGAAGTTCATCTGAACTGCAGCACAATCTCTGCCTAGGTCAGGAATTTAGATGTAATAATTTTGTGCGAGAGAAGAGGAATTTACTGGCTATCGATTTGAATGTTGTTCCGCCTGAAGAAGACGGTTCGGAGTGTGAGGTTGGGGGAAATGGATTAGGAATCCGACGCGAAGCGGTGGACGATAATTCGGAGGTGAAAGTAGGTTGCGGTGGTGATTATGAGGTAGATTTTGGTGTTGTTGGTGAACGATGTTACAGTGAAAACCGAAACGTAGATGAATCGCATTTGTCGAGTGGGAAAACCGTCGGTGGATTCTCCGCCGACGAAGAACAGAACGCGAAACGAATCAGAATGTTGAGAATCCGCGCCGATTCAATCGAAGGAAGGAAGGAAAACGAGATGCGCAACAATCGTTGGAACGCGCTTCTAGAAGTTGCTGCGGCGAATTCTTCAAGCGAACAGCTCCGACTCCAGAATCGGAAGCGCAGAACGAATCGCCGAGCAGAAATCGCCACTGAGATGCACAAAGGAATAACGACTCGGAGCAAAATCGTTGCTCCGAAACGCCATAGCTTCGCCGGAAAGTGGAACTACGATTGGGAGACGGCGGGGGAGGTGGTGGTGCGATCGACGAGAGGTAGAGCTGTGGCGATGCCGAACAAGTACAAGGACTCGGTCTTCGTCACGGCGGTGGAATTTCTCCGGCATAGCCGAAGCTGCAAATCCTCCGCCACCACCGCGGCGGCGAAACGCACATCTAGGTAATTATTAATTTACTTGTATGGTAATTTTTCTATTAACCGAACCGGTAAAAATCTACTCCTTGATTCATTTTTCCTGTCTAAGAATTTTTACTGATTAGGAATTGGTAATGGTGGCGCTTTGGGATTGTAGATATCATATCAATCATCACATCATGTCAAGGAGATTAAAATGGGTAACCGTTGTTGTCGTTTTTCGAAAAATCGATAGACATGGGAGTGTGTTTATAACAATTGAGTTTTTTTTTTTTTTTTTTTTTTTTGAATGAGTAATAAAAATTTGAATTAAAATAATTTTGATATATAAATTGTATTAATATTTAATTTAATATTTTAAAAAATATTATGAATAGTAAAAATTCTACTGATAAAGATTTTTAGATTTAAATTTTTTAATTTGACTGTAAATAATTATTTGATATGATATAAATAAATATTAACATAATATTTTGAATATAAAATTGACTTTTATCTCTCTGCCCATATAATTGTTTATTTTATTATTTGCTTTTATCGGGCTTCGGACTATGCTCATAAATAGACCTTCATTTTATTATTAATACAATTAGTTATTTTTTTTTTCAAAATGAATTCAACATTATTTAATCCGTATAAATTTCAATAAAAATATATTATTTATGCGTTACATCAAAATGATATTTAACTGAAAATTCAAATAATACACTATTTTAAATCAATTTGAAAAATAGAGTATTTGAGTTCAAGTTTGGTTTAAATAGTTGGTACTCTCACACATTTTTTTAGGTCTCCGGACATATTAGCAGTCCAATCCGAGAATTGGACGGGCCGGACCTAACAGCCTAAACTCGGCCCAACCAATGTCCAAGACCACTCTAATTTGGATAAGACAGCCCAATATCAATTCGGCCCAAAAGTCTAGATAAAGAAAAATTCAATTTGGATAAAGGAAAAGTGAAGGAAACTTGTTCCTAAAAAAATTGGAGAAGTCGAGACACTCGAGGAACAAAACAAATAAATGAATATCTAAACGGAGCAAACAATATAGGAAAATGATAAACATATGTGCAAAATAATCCAGCTCCTATTTTTCTAGTTTATCTAATTTTTGTATATATTCTCTAAAGCCAAATGTAAAATAAATAAATATATTTATAATTTTAGAGTTTAAAAATAAAGATTTTAAAACTCATTCACAGCTTTAAGATCAAATATCGTTAAATAAAAACCGTAAAAGGTTAGACTATCAAAATGAAATAGTCTAATGCAATTTGAAATTATAAGAAAGACGCAATTTTGCTAAATTACCATAGGTTTATGCAATTTTGCCTTTATAATTAGTAGCATTCATATTTTTTTAGGGTCTTTTTTGGTAGTTAGACTTAGTTTTAAATAATAAATTTTTAATGTGAATTAATTTTGTATTATATAAAATAAATTAAGTTGATATTTTTAACATAAACTTAATTTTTAGTTTAATATATATAAAAAAATAGACATTTAATTTTATATTTTGGAAATTTCTTTTTACTGGATAATAGAAATTTGAAATTTTTTTTTGATATAACACACGGACACTGAACCTCCGGTTCGAACCGGCATTACGGTTCGAAATACGTTGAACCGAACCCACCGAACCGTAAAAAACCGGCTGAACTCTCACTCGCCTGCCTTATCTTCTCCCCAATAGCCTTACCCTCTGCATTCTCACTCACTACACACACTGAAGCAGCTCCAGCCATGGCGAACCCTAACGCTGAAGAACAACCTGAATTGAAGCCCAAGGAAGAAGATTCAGAAGCAGAATTGTTGAATATGCTGCCTTCTTCCTCCTCCTCCTCTTCCTCTTCCGATTCTGATTCCGATTCCGACTCAAAATCAGACAGCGAGTCCGAATCCGACGACGAGCCCATTTCCTATGTCCGACCTGACGGTTCCGTTCGTACGGTTTCTCCTTACGATTCGGACCAAGAGAACACTCCTGAGGCCAACATTAGCCGGTTCAACAAAGTGCTGAATTCGAAGCGCCTGTTGAAGGCGGAGGAGGAGGAGGAGGAGGAGGCCGAGGACTACGAGGAGCTCTTTGATTTCCCGCCCGACCCTGAGAACTGGCGGGAGGAGGATTTGAAGGAGCTATGGGCGGATGCTCCGGTGGCAATGACGAAACCGGGCTGGGACCCGAATGATGTGGATGATGATGAAGTGGATATTCTCAATGATGAAATTGCTAATGGCCGTGATCCTCCAATTGCCCCGTTCTATGTGCCGTACAGGAAGCCTTATCCTGTGATTCCGGATAACCATCATGATATTTCGACTCCCAAGCAGGTGATTGAGGAGCTGGATAGGATTGAGGAGTTTCTGACTTGGGTTAGCTACATCTTCCCCGATGGCAGCACGTAAGTGTATAGAAGGTGTTTCTGGAACGGTTTTGGAAGTCACATTGTTCTTAATTTAGTGTGTTTTGCAGATTTGGAATAGTCTTGTTGTTCTTGATAGTGTTTCTTTGGTTGATTGTACCAAATTTATGTCTTTTAATATGACTTTGCAGTTTAGGATGTTGATTGTAGATAATTAGATTCTTGTTCAATTTCTTGTGAGAATGCTATCTCTTCATGATTGTGTTTTAATGATAGATCAATTTTTGATCTTTTCAGATATGAGGGCACTGTTTGGGATGATCTGGCTCATGGAAGAGGCGTTTTTGTTGCCGAAGAAGGTCTGGTGAGGTGTGTTGAAGTTCATTTTATTTTTTTGTTGAGCATTTAGGGTGTGTTAACTATGGATTATTGGTTGATTCTTTACACGAATTTATTGGTTTATATTTAACTTCTGGAAGTCTACTTATGCAGCTTCTATTTACACGACCTTAAGGATTAATTTTTGTTTGTAGGTATGAAGGAGAATGGCTCAAAAACGACATGGAAGGTCATGGAGTTGTTGAAGTTGAAATTCCCCAACCGGAACCTATTCCGGGTTCCAAGTCCGTTTCATACTTTCCTTCAACATACTTTTAACAAACCAGCTCTTGGAACTGAAGCATTTTAAGAGATTTTGTATTCTGATATATTTTTTTTTTATGACTTTTTAAGGCTTGAAGCGAAGATGAGGGCTGAAGGGCATATAATATCTAGAGATTATATGACGCCAGAAGATAGAGAGTGGCTTGAGATGGATATTGAAGATAGTTTGAAATTAGCTGATGGAGAGTTTGAAGTGCCCTATTATGAAAATGAAGAGTGGGTCAGACAATTTGGACAGAAGCCGTAAGTTTTACATTCAAGCCATCATTCTGGTTACCCGTCTTTCACGCACTTTGTCTGCTATTCGCTACTTCTATTTATCATGCTTGATGCTGACCATTTTGATTGCATCAATGATCATCTGGGCCCAATGTTTCTTTAGAGTATGGGATGGTAGTCCCTCGAATTGGATTGCAGTTTTAGCATCCCTTGGTTTAGTTTAAATTTGTAGCTGGTAAGTTTAAATGGAAAATTTTCCTGATAGTCTGATTACTTTTCACTTCACATGTGCAAATCTGAAATAGTTGTGTTTTTATTAGTGCTAGTGCAAATTACAAATAATTATGGTAAGCTAAGAATATATTGGGTCATGAATTGGTGAAATGTTCAATGGCATTTTAGTAACTTTATGAGTGTCCAACTTCTTGTATCAACTTTAAAATAGAAACAAGTGAAAAATCTATTCACCCACAGAAATGCTAGCCGAGCTTATTGGAGTGCCTGCCGAGAATATCCACTTAGATGTCTGTTTTGTGTTTTCAACTTTAATATTGAACTTGTGAATTTATAAAATCTGGTTATTCAAACCCTTTAATTATAATGCTGCCTCTAGAGATCTTATATTTGTTTTTCAAGTGACTCCTGGTCATAATATGCTGCCAGGGAAAAAGGTCGGTATCGATATGCTGGTCAATGGAAACATGGGAGAATGCATGGTTGTGGCGTATATGAAGTCAATGAGCGAATTACATATGTAAGAATACACCAGTGCTAGTGCTTTCCATTTTTGTCCTGTGGTTCTAATTGTCATAACTTCTCAACACATATATTGTTTTTTTGCAAAAAATGAATCACACTAACAATTGATTGCTCGTGTAAAGTTTGGTTTTTGTTCTTATCTTCTTGTTTGAAACTTTTCTCCTTGTAGAATTCTTGAGTACGGCTCATGTTGTGCTCACTGCTAGTCATTATCTTTATTCCTTAAAATGTATCAATACGATTCTTGTCAATGAAGGTTTCAAAATTGTCAAAATAATTCTTGAATAGATTATGCAGATTAACTTGACATTCCCAAATGAGCAATTTGAAGCAAATAACCTTTTGTCCAGGATCAGTCCGACTTAACAAGTGACTACTAACAGGAGTAGCATACTGTTTTTCCCGATTGGAATTGGAAAGTATAATTTATATACTAATAACGATTTTGCTACACATGAGCCAATGAAATTATTCTACTTGTATGAGCAGGGACGATTCTACTTTGGTGAACTTTTGAACGACTTAGCCGGTTGTGATGCTGACATATCGGGGGTAAATAAAATTTATTTCTTGTGTCTTTTTTTAACCCTCTTGATCACACACTATTTACCATTCCCTCTTAACTTTTTTTACTTGCTGTGAGTCGAGTTAACTTAGGAGCACATCACTTCAGATGCATGCAGGAATCGCAGAAGTTGCAGCTGCAAAGGCACGTATGTTTGTCAACAAGCCCGATGGAAGTATGTGTTCACTTATATGCATCAATTATGCATTATCGAGAAATATTCCCATTTCTTTTAGGAATTTGAAATAATTCATCTGCAAGACTTATGCTGTATCAGTGAATTGTATGTTTCTTGACAAGATGTGGATTCTTAAGTCTGTTTTTGTTCTTGCAGTGGTCAGAGAATACTTTGGTCCGTATTCGGATCCTCAGCATCCGTATTTTTACGAGGAAGAGGATGTGTGGATGGCTCCAGGCTTTATAAATCAATTTTATGAAGTAACTTGCCTATAGTATGAAGATTCTATGTCCATAAATAATTGCAAGAATGCGAATAATAATCGTTCTTTCTTTGCAGGTTCCGGACTATTGGAAAGTGTACGTAAATGAAGTCGACCAAGAAAGAGAGATGTGGTTGAACTCGTTCTATAAAGCTCCACTAAGACTGCCTATGCCGTCTGAACTTGAATATTGGTGGGCTAATGGTATTTACTCGACTCCTGGAACGTGTATAATTGTATATTAACATTTAGATCCGATGACAGGATAATGATCTGTCGCTTTTCTTTCAATCAGAAAAACAGCCGGAATTTGTACTTGTGAACAAAGAACCAGAGCCTGACCCTGAAAATCCCGACCAGCTCATATACACAGAAGATCCCCTCATTGTACATACTCCAACTGGAAGAATCATTAATTATATAGACGATGAGGAACATGGAATACGATTATTTTGGCAGCCTCCATTAAAGGAGGGCGAAGATATAGATCCGGAAAAAGTTGAGTTTCTGCCTCTGGGATTTGATGAATTCTATGGACGAGAAACAGAGGAGCCGAAAGACAACTTGATGATTCGCTTTGTCAAATATTTTGATAATAAAACCAAGCCGTTTTTCGACAGTCTACAGAAATGGGCAGATGAGAAGAAGAAAGCTAGTGAGGAAAGGAAAGAGCTATTGAAGGCAGAACTTGAGTTGGCGGAAGCTGAGCTGTCTCTGAAGGAAGCCATTGAAGACATGGATGAGGAGTTAAAGCTAATGGAGAAAGAAGAGGAAAAGAAAGCTTTACAGAGTACTGAAACCGAAGATGTTTCAGCGTCCGATCCAGCGAAGCAGGTGCAGCAAACTCCACCTGAAGCTGAACCCAAAAAGGAAAACGAAGATGAAGATGAGGAAGAAGAAGAAGCAGACGAAGAAGATGATGTTACTCCTTCGAGCTTTGGGTCTGTCGAAGATTCAAAATCGACTAAAAATGATGACAATAGCGGTAAACAGGGGAAATCAACATTCGCATCGACATCCCTCGCATTTGCTACCTCTAATCTCATTTCTCTGGTAAGCCATGGTTAAATTTTTTTGCTTTAACCTCCATGTTTACAGATGGATTTACATATGTTTTTTTTTTGTGTTTCATCGATTGATAGGCTCCCATGAAGTTGCTGGATTCGTTCTCAAGGTGGAAACAGGGAAAACATCGAAACCAAGCTTCAGAGACTGCTCCTGCGCCTGTTCTTTGCGACACATTCCATCATCTTCCACAAAAGAATCCATCTACGGTGAGCTTCGCCTACACTGGTACCAAAAACTTGAGGAAACTCAGATGCGTGGGGCAAAAACCGAGAGCGCTGCACATCTCCAAGCCGAGCTTGAGAAGGCATTCGAAGCAGGTGGAAGCAGATGCCGTGAATCTGGAGAGGAATTTCAATGTATTGTCGTTGCATACTCAGGTATCGCCACAACCATTTTCTTGTCTCTGTTGATTTTTGTCGAATTTTTGAGAGGCATCAAATTTCTTCTTGTCTTGATTTAATGAATGATCTGCTCTACATGGAGAGAGTCAAGTTGATGTTTCAAATGAGCTGAGGATTAATTTTATGTTGTCACATAACTATTTCGATTTCTTTCTTTCTATTGGAAGAACCATTTTGGAATAAGTATATGCTTGTTTCTTACATGGCTTCATTGTCATGTCAGCAACTTTGGTGTCTGTAGATTATTTTTGTCATTTTTTTAAAATTATGTGACTAATTCAATAGAAAATTTAATTATAATCTCAAAGATTGTGTTTTTTTATTTTTTATTTTTTTTTACCACAAATTTTTACTATTGCGATTTTATTTTATTTTTCAAAAATATCAAATCAAATAATTACTCCCTTCGTCGTAACTCAAAGTACTAATTTTATCATTTTTGTCCGTGCTGTTTCAAAGTATTTCTTTTCTATTTTAGTAAAAATAATCACACATTAATACCAAAATACTTTTAACAATAGACAAAACATACTTCAAACTGATTAATAAAATACCATTATCATACATTCAAAATATCGTATAAATTTATATTTATATTAATCAAATAACTATTTAGACAAACACACCATAATATGATAATCAGTTTCCTAATGGACAAATTCTTTTTTTTCATGAATAATTATTGATAGGATGGTTTATAATTGCTATTTTTGTTTAGTTTGATTTATATGTATACAAGCTAAATGGGGTCAATTCATATGTGCATGAAAAATATGCTCAACTTTTACTTACAGAGATTAATAGACAATATTTTAATATTGTTTTTGTATTTTTTAAAGGTAAAATAATAACAAAATTATTATTATTTGTTAAAATAAAATTAATTAAAAAAAAAAAGTCATAAATTCGTACTGCATAATTAAGCCCAATACGAGGAAGCAAGAAAGGCCCAAAAGAACGGTAATGGCGAGGAGAGTGGAGACCAATAATGGGTCTCCATATTAACGTTAATGGCAGCGGCCGCGGCTGCAAATCAAAATACTCATATCCCTAAATTTGAACCAACCAAAACCCTAGTTTCGGCTATATAAACCCTACCAAAACCCTTATTTCCCCCGCGCCTCTTCCAAGCACAATCGCGAACACCACCTGTCTCTGTTTTCTTGCTCGGAACAATCAATCCAGGGAAAGGCCATGGAGTTTTGGGGTATGTTCTCGTTTTGCTGTTTGAATGGATATGGATATAGCCTTCTTTTGCTTTCCTGTTTGTGTTTCGTCTTCATACGATTCGATTGTTCGGCTTGACGGTTTCATTTATTATCGCGAAGATTCTTTTCTTATTTTGTGTTATACTCTCTGTTTGTATGCGTTTTCGTTTCAATTTTGTTGTTAGGGCTTCAGTTTCTGCACCCAAAGCTTTCTTCCACGTTCTTATTTCGTTTTCGTTTTTTTTTTTTTTAATCAGGAGTTGAAGTCAAGCCTGGGCAGTCATTGAAGGTCCAACCTGAGCTTGGGAAACTAATTCATATCTCACAGGTTGTTTATACCTCTTTTTAATCAATTGTGTTTATGGTGTCAGATTTTTCTGACTGATTTGGATTATCCAGGCTGCTATGGGCGAAGTGAAGGATGCTAAAGGTGCTAAGAACGTGCCTCTTCGATTGAAAATTGATGATAAGAAATTCATCATTGGAAGTCTCGCTGCCGAGGATAGAACACAGATAATGTTCGATTTGGTGTTCGAAAGGGATTTTGAACTTTCTCATGATTGGAAAAACGGGAGTGTGTATTTTATGGGGTACATGGCTGATGATCCTGTTTCAGGTATTTAATTTACGCGACAATGCTCGAGATTTGATGTTTTTATAGAATTGTAAATATGGAAATTTGAAATTTGTGTTGTGTTGTGTTTAGATGGCGAAGATTTCTCTGGTTTCGAGGATGAATCTGAGGATGAGCCTATTGAAGCTCATGAGAATGGTAATTTCTATGTTTTCTTTCATTTGTTTGTTCATTGATAATTTGTTTGAAAATTGCAATTGTTGATTTGTTTTTTGTGAAATTTCTCAGGTGGAGTTATTGCTAAGGCCGATGGCGCGAAGCCGGGTAAAATCGACGCTTCTAAGCCTGGATTGGATGAAGATGACAGCGAATCTGATTCGGATGACAGTATGGGCGAAGGCGACGATTCTGATGAGGTATATATATATATTCAATGCTGATTAATTATGTTCTTGTTCTTGAGATTGTATCTTATGTAATTGACATGTTTCGACTCGATTTTGTTATGTCAGGATTCTGAGGATGATGATATTTCGAGCGAGGAAGAGATAGATTTGTCGAAGGTACTATTGCTCTTTGCTCTTTCCTTATTGATATTGATCGGTGTTTAAGTGTGGAAATTTTGATTTGGATTTTGAGTTGCTAAATGAGTTTGAATTAAGGGTGTCAATTCTTGAACACAAAAAACTTAAAAAAAATTAACCTAACTTAAAAAGAATTAATTTTTATTTAATTTTTATATTTAAAATAATATAAATGTTATAAATTAAATTAATAATAATAAATAATTTCAGGTCAATACGAAACATGAAACCCAACCTGATTTTTACATTTCGGGTTATCAGGTCAGCCTGACTTTGACACCCCTAGTTTGAATCATAGTTGTCAATATTGACGCTACGGCCGGCCGCTCTGTAATTCCGCATTAGTGGTGCTCTTAGTGGCTTGAATAATATTAATTATAAGATAAGATTATATTTATTATTTGGTAAGTATATATTTCTTACTATTATATTATAATATACTAAAATATCAATACGAAAGAAAATTATAGGTACTTGTAGCTCTAGAAAAGGGTGCAAGGTGACGAACATGCAATAGAAGAAATGGATACGAATGAAGAAGACGAGGGAGAAGAGGAAGAATATTTAGGCAAGAGTTAACTATGAGGATGAAGAAAATGAGGAAGAAAATTCTTTATCCGATATTTATCTATCAAATAATAGTGATCTAATTATTTTTGCTTATATAACTATCTATCAATTATGATCATATATTTTTTTGTTTATATTTTATTGGTTTTGAATGATAATTTTGGGATTAATTTATATATATTTCTTATATATTTTTGTGGTAATTTTGTATATAATAATAATATATATACATATATTTAAATATCTATAACTAATTTATATCACATAAGATCATTATTACAATTTAAAATTTTATTATCTATAACTCATAATTAATTTTTATTTTTTTTGGGAAGAAACCAAATTGTCTTCCTAAATTATCAAATCAATTATTTATTATTTGTTTATTTTTATATTAAATTAAAAATCAATTTAGCATTCGCTATAATATATCAAATAATTATTTAAAAATAAAATTTTATTATTTAAAATTCAAATATAACTATCAAACAAACTTGATATGAGTATTAGTTAAAATGCACTTAACTATTAACTCTTTGATGAATTTTTTTTTTTTTTTTACCTATATCTCTAGGTAACTTATTATTAACGACTCTAGTTTTTGAAATATCGTAAAATTAAGTACTTCGAATTTGGTTTTGTTTGGCTCATGATCTATAAGCATCTTTCTTTCGGCCTCACATAATTAAGATTGTCCGTCACATAGGATAATTTTTATTTCCCCGATTGTGCAGAAATCCAAGAAACGATCAGCTGAGCCTGCTGCGGAAACTCCAGTTCCTGCCAAGAAAGCAAAGCCTGCCGCCACTCCTAATAAGACAGGTTTCAAAACTATCCATTTTGTCGCGATTTGCCAATACGTTCAAAAAAAAATAAAAATTGAGTTGCAATTTGTTTAAAATTTTTTTCTAGGTAACAAAAAGGAACATGAGGCGACTCCTATCCCCTCCAAAGCCACTGGAAAAACTCCAAACAGCAACAAACCGAAGGATCAGACGCCAAAATCTGCAGGCCCGTCTTGCAAATCCTGCAGCAAGTATGTCACATGATGTTTTCTTTTTCCCTGACCATGTTGTCGAAAAATAAATATTATTACATTCTCGTTTCATTATCTAATCGGGATTTTTACTTCAGGACATTTGCTTCCGAGAAAGCTCTGGAATCTCACACCAAGGCGAAGCACGGGGGCAAATGAAGATGAACGATTATTACGGTTGATTTTTACTGCTTTCGAGATAGCTTCAAACGGTAAGAGTTTAAAGATTGTTGCTGCTTTTAAGTGGTGGAATCAGAAAGTACATAAATCTGATTCGATTTTGATGGAAAAAAGGATACTTAATTATTGCAGAACTTGATGCATTTGTTCTCCTTCTTCGTGCTTTAAATTATTATGTAGTTTTGAGTTTTGGTGTTCTATTAAAGTGATTTTTTGAAATATTCAAATCCAAATTTGAAAATTTTCAAGAGGAATGAATTTGTAGGTAATATTCAAGTTTTGATTCAATATAAAAACAAAATTTGCTTCTATCAAATAATGATTTCTACAAATTGGGTTTAATTTCAATCATTCAATCAACCAACCAAAGATTTCAAATTTTGTGACTGTCTTTGGTTTTGTGGTTTTGTCTATCACATATCATTCGCTACTGTAATAAAATACAATGCAACGCAATGCTGCGTTAAGAATCAAGAAGATGTCTGCATCAATGGAGGCTTCTATCTAGCAAAGGTTGTAAGAAGTCGGGACAACAGTGCCGAACAATCCAAATCCCGCCATCGTAAAAAAAACAGATTGAGGAAAGAGATAGAAATAGTATCTGTCCGCACCATAGAAGATCCCGTGGCATCCACAAGCGAAAAGGAACACGGCGATTCCCAACTCTTGAAACCGTATCCTAATAAAGTAGCCGCATTTGTTGTTAGCGCAAATTCGACTAATAAAACAAGATAGATTTCCGTATTCTCACCTATCCTTTAAGCCGTCGATTCGTGTCGACGCCCCCGTCTTGATCGCTTCCAAATTCTTGCGAGTGTCGCCGAGCTTTTCAGTGACGACCCATTCGTTAGCCCTCTTCGTTTCGAAAAGCCCGATGAGCAAAGCTTTCATTCGATGAAACGACATTACGTTCTCGAAAAGTACCCACGGCACCGCCAAATGAATTGACCTAAATTTTCCGAACATTCGACCATCAAACCTTGTGTGCTTTCGCGCTAAAATTGTGGTCAAGTTTGTAACATGTAGCGAAAGTGAAAACTAGACCTCGGAGTCGTAACGAGCGTGTTTACGGTGGCGATAATGAAAGTAGCGACGATGGCTCCCCATTTGGGAACATCGACTTCGGGGAATAAACTTACCAATGGAAGCACAACGCAGTAAAACACGAAGGTGAACATCGTCCCGACGATCTTACGAATGAAGAAAAAGTTATATATCATGTAGAGTTTTTTCCACGCCGATACTTCCTAAAACAACGAAAAGTTTGATAAGTCTTCGCTCTCAACTTCTCGCAACAAATCATCGAGAAATTGCACATACATACCTTGTTCTTCGAGATTTCCCTCGCCATTTTCCGGAATAAATTTGCCGGGCCACACGACCATCGGTGTTGCTGAGAAAGGTACGCCTTGAAAGTGCTCGGAAGTTCGCTCTTCACCTGTCAAAAATGCAAACTCCATCAAAGGGGATTAGATTCGAATAGGGGAAATCTTATTCCGATACTATGTTAAAATGACTATTTCACCTAAAAATTTGAATTCGTAAGAAAATGTATAATTAATTACATATTATATAGTCTTCAGATAGAAAACATTAAGGCACCTGGAGATCTCCTAAATAGACGAACTTCCAGCCCTTGAGTCCAGCTCGAACGGCGAGATCCATATCTTCGACGGTGGTCCTATCGTTCCAGCCTCCCGCCTCGTTGATTGCCGCAATTCTCCATATTCCTCCGCTACCTAACACATCGGGAGTTTGTCACGTTGGATTCAAGCTCCCGTACGTAACTCTGTTTACATAAACACTTTTGAAACTTTTGATACTATTCATCAACAATAATTTTTTTTTTTTTAAAAATTATCGCATTTTTTTTTTTCTCTTACAAAATATCACATAAGATCCTAACATTTTAGTGTTTCAATTTTTTTTTTAATACTTTAAAACTTCTATCTAAATGAGATGACAACCTAGAGTTTCTTTTCGATCGTTCGATGCACAAATCAAGGAAATTAGGAAATTTGAGAGTTACGCGGCTGTCATTTCACTACAAAAAAAATAACACATTTATAACAGAAATTAGAGACGATGACATTAGCTACAAGAACTTTAGGATAAAATTTATGAATTTCGTCTCTAATATCATTAGTAACGGAAAAAATGAGTTTAAGAATGAAAAAATTTTGTTACAAAAATGCTATTTTCTTGTAGTGTTTATATATTTCGAGAATTTGTAGAAATGGCATTACCGTTAAAACTGAAGAAAGAATGAATGGATGATCCGCCTTCTTCCTCGACTATAAACTGGTAGTCGAGCGACATTTCTTGCATCCTCGTCAAGAAGCATTCGTCTGCATTAACTAAAAAGAAAAAAAAAAAAACTATTCGACAATGCACTCGGATAACATTATTCCTCAACAACTATCGCCACATTGCAAAAGCAATCGATATTTTCTCAATCTCTCTAAAAAATTATTGCATCGAACGCTCATTTTTCATTTAAAACATTACAGACAACAATTTTCAGTTGACTCGCGCTCAAACAAGCGAAGGATGAATCGATCTTCTTACCAAACCTCCAACGAGCCTGTATAAGTCCAATTTCCGGGTTGTGTACAAGATACGGAATGGCCTGCCGGAGAAAGTCTGGTTCGGGTCTAAAGTCAGCGTCGAAGATGGCGACATACTCACATTCTTCGACATAGTTATACGCCAAGCCATTTTTAAGTGCCCCGGCTTTGTAGCCGAGCCTCGTTTCTCTAATTTGATACTTAATGTTGATGCCTTGGCTTGCCCACTTCACACATTCTTTTTGGATCATATCCTGCAATCTTTTTGTTCGACTCAATGACAATCGAAGGCGATAGCCATGTAAGAATAGTTCAAGTTTAACAAGGTATTCGGGTTTAATATTGTTTCGACTTTACACTAGTGTGCATTTCACACTTCCTAACTAGTATTATATGGTAAATTCCGATCGCACTTAAATTATTGATTACGATACAAAGAAGTAATGTGGGTATACGACATTTAGAAAATATATATATCGAATGGAGATGCACGTATCAAGATAGCCGAATAAGAGATAAATCGACTATTAAAGATCAAAATATTTTATAGAATCGAAATTTGAGTACAAAATGAAAATTAAACATTTATAGAATCGAAAATTCTACTCCTATTTAGACATAAACTTAATTAATATTTAATTTGATATTTTGGGAGAGAAAAAAAGTATATTTGATACGATACTTTTCCAAAAATAAATAGTACTAAATAATTGAAAATTGGTGTGTAAACAAAGAAGTTTCAAACAAATAGATTTAAAATAAAAATAATCGTAATTTTTTTTTTTTGTTTTTTTTTTCAAAATAGGACCCGAAATGTAGAAAAAAAAGGTACTAATTCGAGGCCCTAAACCATTTCAAATATCCTATGTATCAATAAATAGACTCAAAATAAAAATAATTGTAATTCTTTAGATCTTTTCGAATAAACAATACAAATATCATCTAATTTCAAGCACCAACACAAAAAATTCAAAAAAAAAAAAAAAAAAAAAAAAGGAAAAAAAGAAAAGTCCTCTAAAGAAAGATTGGCAAGATTGCTACATTATCTATTTATGTAGAAGAAATGCATACCTTAATTAGAAGATCAGTTGAATCATCCAAAACTTGAACAACCAATCTATCCACAGGCCACGACAGGTTGCAGGCTGCTCCAATCGAAATCTTGTATACCTATATCAATTTAATTTAAATTATAATTATAATCAATCAATAATTCAATTACCTAATTAAATTCGAACAACATCAAAATCCACAAACCTCAATCTCATTGTAAATAGGGATTTGAACAAGAACCATAGGAAAATCCAAATCTACACACCTCCCATCAATCTCCAAATCATCATCATCATAATTCTTGAATGCTTCCCATTTGTACCTCTTTTGTGGGCTTCTTCGAAAGATGATCTTCCCAAGAACAGCAAGAAACATCATATGAACCCATTCCAAGAACAACAAGAAAGACAACAACAAGCAAATGTATAGACCAATTCTCAGCACAGGAATCACCACCCAAACCCTAATTATTACACCCCACAAAACCCCCATTTTCTCCCCAAATCCCAATTCCATTGCAACTTCAATACAACCCATATTTAATTTTCTTAATTCTTTGCAAAATTTAAGGAAAAAAAAAAACTCTTGATGAAGATAGCCCAATAGTTCGACAGCCCCCTTTCTTTGTCTGTCTTTTTAATTTGTCTCTCAGATCTATAATTGATTTCTGGATCGAATCAGGATAATAAATAATATAATGGCTGTGGATTTTAAAAAAACTAAGGATGGTGTAAGAAAGCTGACAGCTAAAAGCATGAGGATGACTGAACAGTATATATTAAAATGAAAACAATGTGGAGGGGTTATCGATTTTCATTAAGGAATTAATTAATGGGGAATTGGTGAGATGAATGGTTTCGATTCTTCCTAGAGATCCTGGGAATTTACGAAAGTAAGTGTATGTTTCTTTTGGTTGAGTTATAGGAAAAATTGGTTTGAATTCGATATTAAAATAATATTTGATAAGATATTTTTGTAATAATTTAAATAATAAAATTTGAAAAAATTTGATTTAAGAAATATATCTTAAATGACTGTTGAGTAATGAATTATCTACGTGGATGCCTGTTATTTTGCATTACGGCCACGTGGCAGAACGTGATAGGTTGGGTCATTACAGTTTATTCTGTTGAAAAACATTCCGACATAATAATGATATGGCAATCCTCGACCCTATCAATAGTTCCTAAATTAAACTCTTTCAATTATTATAAACAATGATCGTTTTGGAAAATTTAATATTTTTATACTATTTATCCTTTTTTTTTTAAAAAACTAACAAATTAAATATTTATATTTTATTTTATTTTGTATTAAATAAAAAATTAATCTTATATTTAAAATATTACTAACACTTATTTATATCATAATTTTAGATTTTATTATTCAGAATACAAAAAAAAAAAAAAAAAAACTCTCAATTAAACAAACCGATGTACTTACAATTGAAATTCACATTCTTCGAATTTTCTCTCTTCGCCTCATGTAGGGGTGTCCATTTGTATTTTTCAATCGTGTTTGTGTCAGGTTGAACCATGGGGTAAACAAAAAAAATATCAATCCGAACTCGAAATTTGACTTGAAATCCTAGACCCGAACACGATATAAATTCTTTTATGTCGGGTTCAGGTTGACCTAAAAGATATTCATTTTTATTTTAATTTTTATAATATTTTATATTTAAAATAATATAAATATTATAAATTGAAATATTAATAATAAATAATTTCAGGTCAACCGAAACACGAAACCCAAAACCCGATCTGATTTTTATATTTCGGGTTATCAGGTCAACCCGAAACACGATCCGAGATGAATTTTTTTTTGTTTCAAGTTCAGGTAGACCCGATTTTTTGCAAACCCGAAATGCCCAAACCCGAAACTGAAAAAAATCTCAGGTCGAACGGTTTCGATTTTTCGGGTTGGATTTAATTTTGACACCCCTATCTCATGCCATGTTAGTTTAAATCTTAGCAAGAACCTATTTATTATTACTTTTTTTGTACTCATAATTATGTACAACTTTAGGTAAGGTTTTTAAAATTTTTATTTCTTCCATATTTAAATATTTATTATTTTATATAATAATAAAAAATTTACATAATTATTTTATTTATATATTTTGATTAAATTAGTATAATTTTATTATTTTATAATAAATTCGATGTTATAAATTCAACTTCACATGATGATAGACATAACCACGATTTTTTGTTTTTGAGAGTTTACTACACAAGACTATCATTGATACAAATGGTTGTTCCTTTGGTACTTCTTCTATTAGTCATATCCCAAAGAAATCACTCTCGTGTATCCAGTAATTTAATCTGATTATTTTTATTTTTGGATTTAGATCGACTTGATTTCTTAAATTTGAATAGTTCAAATCCAAACTTAAAAATTTTCAAGTCAAATGTTTTTGTATTTTGGAATTAGATTTAATTTTAACATCCCTAATGTAGAGAGATGCATATATCTAATTAATATTCCAATTTGTTTCAATTTAAAAACAAAATATGCTTCTACCAAATAATGAGTTCTACAAAATGGACTTAATTTCAAGCATACAATCAACAAACTTGCAACCTTAACCATAAGCAAAGATTTCAATGAACTTGTCCAATAAGCAAAGATTTCCAACGTCTTTACGTCTTACTTGCCATACAAGGCATGTTACTATAGTACAATACAACACAATGCTTATTTAAGCTTAATACATGCTACATGCCTATATATCCATGGAGGTTTTTATCTAGTTGACGTCTTTAAGTCTTACCTGCCATACAAGGCACGTTACTATAATACAATACAACACAGTGCTTATTTAGGCGTAATACATGCTACATGCTTATATCCATGGAGGCTTCGATCTATCTAGTCGAGTTTGTGTGAGAAAACAGATGTTGGGACAAAAGTGCCGAACAATCCAAGTCCCGCCATTGTAAAGAAAATAGATTGAAGAAAGAGATAGAAATAATATTTGTCTGCGCCATAGAAGATCCCGTGGCATCCACAAGCGAAAAGGAACACGGCGAAGCCCAGCTCTTGAAACCGTATCCTAATAAAGAAATCGCATTCGTTGTTAGCGCAAATTCGAAAAAGGATAAACTAGATAGTTAAATTTCCATATTCTCACCTATCTCTTAAGCGCTCGATTCGAGTTGTCATCTTTGTCTTGATTTCTCCCAAATTCGTGTTGTTCTTGCGGGTGTCTCCGAGCTTTTCCGTGACAATCCATTCATTAGCCCTCTTCATTTCGAAAAGCCCGATAAGTAAAGCTTTCGTTCGGTGAAATGACACTGTGTTCTCAAAAATTACCCACGGCACCGCCAAATGAATCGACCTGAATTTTCCAAACACTCGAGCATCAAACATTTGTGAGCATTCGCGCTAAAACGATGGCCAAGTGTAACATGTCGCGAAAACTAGACCTTGGAGTCGTAAAAATTGTGTTTATTGTGGCGATAACAAAAGGTCCAACAACAAGTCCCCATTTTGGAACATCAACCTCTGGAAATAAACTTGCCAATGGTATCACGACGGAGTGCGACAAGAATGTGGTTGGCCACCCGACAATCTTACGGATGAAGAAGAAGTTATATAGCATGTAGAACTTTTTCCATGCCGATAATTCCTGAAACAAAAAAATTTCGATTAGTTATTGCTCTAAACTTCTCGCGGCAAATCATCGACAAACTATGCACATACCTTGTTCTTCAAGATTTCCTTGACCATTTTCCGGAATAAATTTTGCAGGACCACACACCCATCGGTGTTGCTGCGAACGGTACGCCTTGAAAGTGCTCGGAAGTTCGCTTTTCACCTGTTGTAAATATAAACCTCATCAAAGAGAGATTAGACTCAAATACAGGATCTCCCATTCTAATACCATGTGAAACGATCATCTCACTTAAAAGTTTGAAGAGAATAAAAAATTATATAATTAATTACATGCTCAAGAAATAATAGTATTTTATTGGTTAGTGAAAGTGTCTAAGAGATTTTGATATTTTTGCCCTTAAAAAGTAAGTATATGTCATACATAACGTAATGATATATTTGTAATTTAAATAAAAGTCGGGGGTATTTTGGTATTAATGTAGAATTACTTTGATTAAAAAAGGAAAGAGATATTTGAAGTGAGACATGACGAAAATGATAAAAGGAATACTTTGAATTGAGACGGATGAAATATTATATAATCTTTCAACAAAAAGCATCAAGGCACCTGTAGATCTCCCAAGTAGACAAGCTTCCACCCCATGAGTCCAGCTCGAACGGCGAGATCCATGTCTTCGACGGTGGTCCTATCATTCCAGCCTCCGGCATCATCGATTGCGGCAATTCTCCATATTCCGGCGCTTCCTAACACATCGGAGAATTTGTTTCGCTGGATTTAAACATCCAAAAACTCTGTTTACGTATACTTTTTGAACTTTTGACACTTTATAACATTAACTTTTAAAAAAAATATCCCATCAGATATTTTTTCCACTCACAAAGTATCACATCAAATACGTAACTTTTTAATATTTCCAAAGTTTTTCAAAGCTATAAAATTTCATCTAACAAGATGACAACCTAGAGTTTCTCTTCGATTAATTGATGTACAAATCAAGGAAATTTGAGACTTACACAGTGTCGTTTATGTATTTTGAGAATTCATAGAAATGGCTATTACCGTTAAAATTGAAGAAGGAATGAATGTATGATCCGCCTTCTTCCTCGATCATAAACTGGAAGTCGAGCGAAATTTCTTGCATCCTTGTCAAGAAGCATTCATCTGCATTAACTGAAAAAAAAAAAAACTATTCGACAATACGCATGGATAACATAATTCCTCAGCCATTGTCGCCACATTGAAAAATCAATCGACATTCCTTATATCATTTAGATATTTTATTATTATCTCTAAAGCAAACATATCACATCCAACACTTATTTTTCATTTAAAATATTGCAGACAACAACTATTTTCACTTAACTCGCGCGAAGGATGGATCGATCATCTTACCAAACCTCCAACGAGCCTGTATAAGTCCAATTTCCGGATTGTGTATGAGATATGGGATGGCCTTCCGGAGAAAGTCTGGTTCCGGACTAAAATCAGTGTCGAAGATGGCGACATACTCACATTCTTTAACATACTTGTACATCAAGCCATTTTTAAGTGCTCCGGCTTTGTAGCCGACCCTAGTTTCTCTAGTTTGATGTTTAATGTTGATACCTTGGCTCGCCCACCTTACACATTCTTTCCCGATCATATCCTGCAATATTTTTTGTTCAACTCAATGACAATCGAAGGCGACGACCATGAAAGAATAGTTCGAGCTCAACAAGGTTGAACTCGAAGCAAAATTTGATACCTCAGCAACGAAGTAACATAAGAATTTTTTGGAAGACTATGCTTGTTTGTTTTGTATTTTGGTTCGAATGAAATTTTTTTTTTATATGAGCTATAGATATTTTGTCTAGTTAATATTAAAATAACGAGGATATGTAATATATTATTTCTTTTTTTAGGAAAAATGTATTGAAACATTTTTATTAAAGAAACAAATATATTAAGTAATTAATTAAGCATTTTTTTTTTTTATTAGGGATTCAATTAAATGAGGATGTGTAATATATTATTTCTTTTTTTTAGGAAAAATGTATTGAAACATTTTTATTAAAGAAACAAATATATTAAGTAATTAATTATGCATTTTTTTTTATTAGTTTGATTAGCTTATTCAAATAGGTGTTTGTATTAAAGTGTATAGTAAAACAAAATCTTAGCTGTTTATAACGCTAAAGTAAAATGACAATGAAACCATTTATATGTTATATTTAAAAACATTCAATTTTGTTAATTTTGGTTTAAAATTTTTTTTGAGAATTTCTGCTATTAATTATTAAAATTATAAAGATATTATAAAATATTTATATTTATTTTTTTAGACTTGAAAAAAATATTTTTATTAAAAAAATGTTTTATTGAAATTATATAAAATATAAAATAACAAATTTTGTATATATATTTTTATTATGTTAATGATTGTTTATTTATTTATTTAAATGAACTGTACTAACTGTCTAATTTTGTTGAGTATATCCCATATCAAAAAAAAAAAAAAAAAATTTAGGATTTTCCTAGCTCATAAAGTTAAATTAACTTCACTTATTACAGATTAATTTAAATTCGAGTCACAGATCCTTTCTTAACAAATTTAATATTTGAGCATTACTACGAGATCAAATTAAATAAAATAATATATATATATATATATATATATTTACAAGATTGCATCACTATCTATTCGTAGAAGACATGCATACCTTAATTTGAAGATCAGAGGAATCATCCAATACTTGAACAATCAATCTATCCACAGGCCACGACAAGTTGCAGGCTGCTCCAATTGCAATCTTGTATACCTAAATTAATTTAATTTAAATTATAATTATAATCAATCATTCATTCAATTCTCTATTGAATTCGAACAACATATATCAAAATCCACAAACCTCAATCTCATTGTAAATAGGGATTTGAACAAGAACCATAGGAAAATCCTGACCCTCACAGCTTCCACTATTCTGCAAATCGTCATCATTCTTGAATGCTTCCCATTTGTACTTCTGCTGTGGCCTTCTTCGAAAGATCTTCCCAAGAACAACAAGAAACATCATATGAATCCATTCCAAGAACAACAAGAACGAAAACAAGAAGCAAATGTATAGAGCAATTCTCAGCATAGGAATCACCACCCAAACCCTAATTATTGCACCCCACAAAAACCCCATTTTGTCACCAAATCCCCACTCCATTACAACTGCAATAGGACCCATTTATTTATTTTCTTAATTTTTTGCAAAAAATTAAGGAAACTCTTGATGAAGATGTAAGTTCTGATCTGGGATTGATCGGTACAAGATCAAATAGATACGAACCCTAATTGGGTGAATTGTTTGTGCATGGAAATGTGAGAATTAAAGAGAAACTGAGAAGGTGTCGTGTACGTATATATATATATATATATATATAGATATATATGAAGGAAGCAATTAATGTAGAGTAATGGAATTTAGAGAGAAAGGGAAATGAGTGAAGAGAAAGAAAGTGAGGGAGAGAGTGTCACGTGAGTGTGTGTTTATATACCAAAATACTAGCTGTTTAGCTTGATCGATTACAAAATACTAATGTTTACGGTTTAGCTTGCATTGATTATAAAATATTAGCGTTTACGGTGTTTAGCTTGTTTCGTTTACAAAATACTAACGTTTACGGTGTTTAGCTTGCATCGATTACAAAATACTAGTGCTCTTGGTGTTTAGCTTGCATGTATTATTGCATCGATTATAAAATACTAGTGTTTACGATTTAGCTTGAATTGATTATAGTAAAATACTACTCCCTCCGTCCCAGATACCGTGTCTGCTACACTGTAGACACGGTATTTTAGGAAGGGTGTAATTAGTAGATAATTAAGAATGCATTAGTGAAAATAATTATCCTATAATATAAATAATTATAAATTAAGATTAAGATTAAAATAACTAATTAATTTAATTAAAATTAAAAAAAATTAAAAATTTTAAAATGAGATTAAAGTATGTAATTATTTTCAAAAAAAGAAAGTGACATATATGGGACGGACAGAAACGACAACGTTGACATGGTATCTGAAGGAGGGAGTAGTATTTACGGTTTAGCTTGAATTGATTATAAAATACTAGCGTTTACGGTTTAGCTTTTATGGTTTAGTTTGCATCAATTATAAAATTAATACTAGCGTTTACAGTTTATCTTGCATCGGTTATTAGTAAAAAAAAGTAAAGTATTGATTTAACAAAAAAAAAAAAAAAAGAAAATTTTTAGGTGATTAACAAATAAAAAAGCAAAAAAAAAGGTACAAATTTAGGTGATAGAATGAATACTTTTTATGCTTACATATTTAAAAATATATTATTATATATATTTAAAATAAACTTTATTTTTTTGTTTGTAATAATTTAAAATATAAAAGAATAATTTGATTAAATATCTATTTATATTTAATTAGTTGTTATTTTATTATTATGTACAAACTATGATATTCGATAACTATTTTTATCTCAAAACAAATTTACAATGATTTATCCATATCAATAATGAGTTGCATTTCAAGAGTATCCTATACTCTTAGCTCGCATATATATATATATATAAAAGGTTAATTATAGTCATATTTCATATATTTTCTCAACTCTCATTGATCATATAAGCACATATTTGCATCTAAATTTTGAGACATAATATAAAAATAAAAAATAAAATTATATAATGCAGAACAAAAATATAAGTAAGAAAACAAACATTTCAATAGTAAAAATTGATTACAAATTCATACTGAATTAATTTCCAGTTTGTTCCAAGAACCATACCAAGCAAAATAGACAAACCCTAAGTCTTCCCCAATTAGGTCAATCTCGACACAAACTTCATACATATTGGTGGTTTCACACCAGCCATGGCCAAGATAGAGCTAGGCAATGTCCAAATCCCATCTCCACATATCAGCCCTGAAGCCACAACGGTTCCGAAAGCCTTTGCGGCCGCCTTGTCGACCTTCTTCCAGACGACGAGTATTAAGCTCCCGACACACATGTCAACGGCGAAGTTCGCGCCAAGGAAGAACGGAAGCGCCATGGCCATGGGAATCGGAACAAAACGAGCCCATTTCGGCTTCAAAAAATCGCGAATGCCGGTAATGGTAATGGATACGATAAAGAAGGCGTAGCAAAAGGTGAGACAATGGTGAGGTAGAGAGGAGAAGCCGTTGACGCCGAGGATCGCGACATTACGAAAAATAAGAGCATATGGAACAGCATATTGCGAATCCGGCTTCCCTAAATCCTCGAACGCCTCGAGAAAAAGCCAAAATATGCACGGCGATAGTACACAACCGATTGCGGTCCCAATGATTTGGCTTATGAACATCGACCGTGGCGATGCGAGTGTCATGTACCCGGTCTTGCAGTCTTGCATCAAGCTCGAAGTCACCGCGACAATGTTCATCATGACTCCTCCCATCGCCAATCCAGCTAGGACGCCGTTGTTGCTAGCTCCGGCCCACGAGCTAATCACGAATATGGCTAGCTTTGCATACATCGACGCCAAATTAAAATCAGTAATTCCACAACCATACGAGTTGCAAAAGGCTAAGACCGGCGCGAACATGTATATGACGACGATGTAGTACCACCGGAGGGGTTTGAAGATATACGGGAGAGAGATAGTAGACACGGCGACGAAGCCAATATAACCAATAGCGGCAATCCACGCTGGGATTTGATCCTTGAGGAACATTTGAGTTCGCCTCGCATCATCGTAAGATGTTTCAGAAATCGATGGCACATCCGGGAGCGCCGCCACCGGTTTCATGCATCGAAATGTTTTGTAAAGCCCCCTCGAAATCTTGCATAAGATTTTCAAGAGGTTGTAGAGCCCAGCGCCGAGAATCATGGAGATAGCGATGAAGACCTTGAAAATGAACAAAACATAATCAAAATATTATCGACTGTTAGATGATGTAAATGACTGTTTCACCTAAAAACGTAAGTTATTTAGTATACGCATCATTGATTTATTAATCTACAAGCGGGAGTCAACCAACATCTATCAATCTTCTATGGTCGGATAATTAGAACATTACCTTGTAAATGAACATAACATAAGTAAGACATTATCGACTGTTAGATTATGTAAATGAGTGTCTCACCTAAAAGCTTAAGCTATTAAGGATACGCATCATTTATTTATTAATATACAAGCAGGAGTCAACCAATATCGATCAATCTTTTATAGTCGATTAGAACATTACCTTGTATCCTTCCAAGCCGCGAAGATTCTTTTCATCGATTTCAGCCGAATACCAATGGCCCTTTCGGGTGGCTACGAGAGGCCATATTAAGCCCCACGACAAAACCGCGCCGAAGAGTAAAGATACGTTAGTAATCAATGGAGTGATCATACCAACACCAACGTATGTAGCCGAGAAATCGAAATAAAACCTGTATGAAGTAAACTTGATCAGATCTTACAAAGAAATTACATAAAAGGAGAAATTTTTTTGCAATATTTGAATGCAACCAATTTCTTACTTGTGTTCGTAGGCTTTTAGGCCAAAGGTAGGAAAATTCACAAAACCACAATGGCTTCCGGCAGTGTAAAACCATTGGAAGAAACTCCACAGTAAGCTGAAGGAGAAGAATTTTCCTAAAGTTTTTACTTGTTTCCTGAATTAAGACAAAAGAAATATTATGATTCTGACATAAATGTTCATATAATGAAAGAACATATATATATATATGTATATATCGATGATGGATTACTTTGCGAGTTCAGCGCCAAGAGGAGTGTGGAAGCTGTTGATAAGATGAGCTGTTGCTGTCCCACTCGGATAAGGTAATTTGAAATCGACAATCATTATCTGAGTCATCCAAAGGTTATACATACATCAATATTAATGAAAGATTTATGTTTTAAGGTTGTAGTAAGAAAACCATGTCGAAATCGATGCAAAACCTTGCGAAGGGGAATGGCTGAAAATAGCCCAATAAAGCTAATGATGAAGAGGAAAAGAATCATCCATGGCAAGGCTGGATTCTTAACATCAAGAGGATTGTTCGCCTCCGACGATTGGTTCGCAACAACACTACTCATGCCAAAAAGGTAGCTTCCAAACCCTCCTGATGATGATCACAACAAAAAGTTAGATTTTGATTCAAAAATAGATTAAAAATGGATTAAAAAAAATGAAGCTAGATCAAGAAATCGAATAAATTCAATGCAAACCGCTAAAGACAAGGCCGGACGATGTAATAATGCAAGTTTGAATAACAGCGTTCTCTTGGCGCGTAAATGGCTGCTCTAGAAGACCCCATTTTTCGAGCAATGTAGCCCATATTTTCACTGAGAAAAATCCGAGCAGTCCTGCTGAGACATTTAATGATGGGACAATCCCCACCGTTAAATGCAACTTCATTCCTATGAAGGTGAACAATACACTTAGGACCGCGCTCGCGACAACTCCCCTAATGGTGAGTTGTCGTTGCCACGGAAAAACTTTTTCTTGGCTCTCGAACATTTTCTCCGTCTCTTCCAAACATTCTTGTGAGTTTTCTTCTATCTCCTCCTCCGCACCGTAGTTTATTTCAACACCAGCCATCTCTTTTTTACCTCTGCATGCACTGTGAATAGAAAAATTTAAAAACAATAAAAAAAGGAACCAATGCAATGATATATAAACAACTCTCTACCATGTAATGTATATGAATAGTTTCAACTATTGCAACACTCTATCTAGCTAGTTACTACTTTATTTATAAAACATGATTTGATCTTATCTCTTAAATACCAAAAGGGAAAAAAGGAATTCATAAATGCAAATATGGGTAACAGATAAATTAATATAACAGAAATAACAAATATAAAAAATCAAAATTGAAATTGAAATCAAGAACAAATAACAAAAACAAGTGTAAAAAAGAATAACTATAATTATATCAAACCATTATTTTTCATAAATTCACATTCTTATATATATATATATATTATTCATCTTGTTTTAAATATTTTGTAATTACCTATCATCAATTTATAAAAAATCAATGTGTGTGCATATAGAGATGTATTTAACTTTTTTATTATTGAGTTATCCTCATCATATTTGTTGTATTCCAATTCTGTAAGGTGCATTGAATTTTTATGTCAATATATATCCTTGAGTATCTACTAATTTATTTTTTTATTTGAGGTAAATCGTTGCTGTAAGGTTTCTGCCTTTTCATATATCATATCATTATCTATATATCAATATATATATATATATAGAGGGATGTATTTTCATTCAATGTTTTGAATGTATGAAATTGATTATTGGTTTATCTTCATGATATTTCAGATTTTATTATAATCCTGTACATTACTTTAGGCTGCCTGAATAGAACTATTTAGATTTGAGTGTTGATTTAAGAATAATAGCTTTAAAATATACATTATATATATATATAAATTTGGGTAATACACAAACACCTATTTTGGTACTCACGGGTTTACAAATATATATATATATGTACACATATATATTTGAAATACATTATACTTGCTCCTAATTTTTATCATTCTCAATACTCACATTTTTTTAATAATAATATATTCCCTCCGTCCCCAATCTATCTCTCCATTTTGTTTATGCACGGGATTTTAGGAATATTAGTATTATATTGGAATAAAGTAGAAATAAAGATAAAAAGACTAAATTAATCCTATTAGTATTAATACTGTATGATATAAAGGTAATGACATTTGTGTAATATATTGTAAATTAGAAGCGTATTTGTAATGTTAGGTAGATAGTACAATTACTAAAAAAGAAACGGATACTTTGTTATGGGACAGACCAAAATAGAAAAATAGATAGATTGTTAAGGGACGGAGGGAGTACTATTTTATTTTTAGAAATATTTTTAAAAAATATACTCCCTCAGTCCATTTTTTAATGTTCTAATTGATATTTACATCACTTTTTTAGACCCTTAGTTTTTTTTGATAATTGATAAATTTGTCCTTTTATGATGTATAGAAAAAAAAAAGTAAATAAAGTAAAGACAAAAGAATATATTCTGTATATAAAAATAAAAAGAGAACAATAATTCTTAGACATTATAAATAGGAAAATAGAACGTTAATTTGTGGACGGATTAATTATATTTTAGACAAAATGAAAAGATAGAAATTCAGATTGAAAGAATTAGAGTTGAAGAGAATTCAAATTTACAAATCATAGAATTAGATGTGAGATATAGTTCATCAAGAAGGTGATATTATATAAATTATTTACTGTTCTTGAGAAGGAACTTGACAATTGGATTTGACATGTTTGGAGACTCAACAAAACTTCTAGATTGGAGATCAAACTTGTCGATCGAATATAAGTATTCATGTGTTGAGGCATTGAGGGGTGATTCTGTGAGGAACGAATCTAAACAACCATTGAAACACAAGTTTTGTATGGTATTTGTGAATCTTGGGTCAAGTGATCGTTAAGTAGATTTGGATTGAATTGAAAAGAGAAATTCAGTTGATGGATAGAAATATTTGGTCGGTGAATTTCACTTAGATTGGTACCCCAAAAATTGTCATATTCTTTACTTTAAATCTACAATATATTGAGAGTGATAACAACATGTACACCGCACTCAATTATATAGTTCGTTCGAGACAATATGATGTGCATGCAAGAACTCACAACAAACAGATATATATATATATATATAAACACATAAATTAAACAAATTAAAGCTCAAGAAAATATGAAAATAGGTTATTATTTTTTGTTAGTAACTCAAAAACATATAATCAAATCTACCACATCTACCATGCTAATTCTTACATACTCACACAAAAATCGCGACTGATGCCAGCGGTGAAGATGGAGATTTCGAACAATACGAAGCCTTATGTGAAAGGTGTATGGGAGAATGAAGGGATGAAGAAGAGAGATTAGAAAACAAAGGAAGAAATTGAAATCTCTATCGAATGGCTTTTCAAATCTACATAATAGTTTCAACAAAAGTTAGAAAAAAAAAAAAAAAAGAAAAAGAAAAAAAGATCTACATGGATTTTAAAATCTAAAATTGGGTCTAATATAATCAATAGTTGTATTTCAAATTCTTTTAGGCAAATACACTCGTTGAGATATAGTGTGGTTTTTTAAGTTGAATTGTTGATTTTGTGTGTGTGTGTGAATATAGTATATATTTATATGTTGTGTATAATTATATATCATATTGTATTTTTTAATAATACTCGTTAGAAATTGTGTTACTGGTTAAACTATATGTAGTTCCCCCGTTTGATAACTAGGTATCCGTCCAAACGTTTGCTTTTTGCACGGAGTTTTAAAAATATTAGTATTATATTGAGATGTAGTAGGAACAAAGTAGAAATGACTAAAATAATCTTATTAGTATTGTGTGATATAAAGGTAACGATATTTGTATAATATATTGTAAGTTGTAAGAGTATTTGTAATGTTACGCAGATAGTACCGTTACTAAAAAAAAATGGATACTTTGTTATGAAACGGACTAAAATGGTAAAATGGATAGTTTATTATGGGCCAGAGAGAGTATTAATCTTCTCATTTAATTATATCCTGAATATTTCCTAATTATATATTTGCTAGAAGAAATTAATTAATTTTTACATGTAAATTTTTACATAGAAAAAAATCAATTAATTCTTTCTAGTAAAATAGACTTTGATTGATTTAAATATTCATCTTTACATATTTGTAACGAGTTATAGGACCGTTTGGATTGACTTGAAAAATAAGCAGAAGCCAAAAGTAAAAGCAAAAGTAGAAGCCAAAAGCAGAAGCAGCAGTTCGATTTTGTGTTTGGATAAATCATTATAAAAGCAGTTTTTCGTAAAAAAACTGTTTGGATGTAATATAGTTGAAAGTGCTTTTTAAACTGTTAAAATTATTAAAAGGACATGCAGTTAATATAATACTAGTATTTTTCTGTAACACTTTTATAATTTAATTTAAATTTTATAAATTATATTTAAAGATTTTAAATTAAAATATAAAAAATGTACTTTTAAATTTTGATTATTTATAATTTAAAATTTTAATTTAAGGATAATATATTAATTAAACATAAAATTACAGTATAATATTATATAATTTGTATTTTATAATTTATTGTAAAATTTTATAAATTATATTTTAGTAATTTAAGTATAATTAAAATTTTTATATACTCCTATTTACTTTCAGTATTTAAATTTTAAATTTTAATCCAAATATAGTATATAAATTAAAAATAATAAATTAATTATATTTTTTTAATTTGTATTAAAATATAATATATAAGTTATTTGTTTTTATATTATATTATATTATTGTATTTATTATTAAGGATAAAAAAGTAATTTTAACTGAAAAATATTTCTGCTTATTTCAAAAACTACTCCAATATGCTTATGAAAAAAGCATTTTTTTTTAAGATGCTTCTACTTTTGGACAGAAGTCAATGCAAACAGGTGCAAACTGTTTTTCTTTTAGAAACAAAAGCCAAAAGCTCTTGCCAGAAGCCAATTCAAACGAGACTTTTAGATTTTGACTCAATTTACATGGTATTATAATGATATATATATATATATATTTTAAGTATAATATTCTTCCTATACTAAAAAAATACTAGTCACCAATCCCATGTTAATATTTACCCATGCTTATTATTAGATGATATACTTTTTTTTTTTTTTTTTTTTGTATTTTTTATATTTTGCACAAGATTTGTTAAAAATATACATTTAAAAACAATAATGGAATTGATTTTTGAATATGTAATTTATTTTTTTTTTGTTAGCAATAGAAAGTAAATATAAGGTTTTTATTCTTTTAACAACTTATTAAATTTCGTAGCTATGCAATCTCTACATTCTTTGAGAATTATTCTATATTTTATCTCATCAAATACAGCATCAAATTACTGTGTAAATATAAAATAGAAACACAAATAAAAGAAATTTAACTATAAAGATTGCCTGAACTAATAAAACACTACATATAAATCAACTTTCAATATTTATATATTAGAGATTATATATTTGATTGATTGAATATGAGTGTCACTGAAATTATTAATGTGTAATCATATTCTCGATAAATATATTTAAATGATTTTTTATTCTCGTAACTAAATTTTTTTATCATTTTAGTCTCGTAAAATAGTCCAGTAAGTAAATTTTTTTTTTTTTGCAATTTAGTCATCAATATCTAAGTGGCATCTGCATGGTATATTGATGGACACGTGTCGACCAGGTCAGCGCCATGTGACTGACACGTGTCGACCAGGTCAGCGCCATGTGACTGACACGTGTCCGCCACGTAGATTTATTATTATTATTTTTTAAATATAAAAAATAAAAAAAAATATATAATGCACACAATAAATATTAATATAATATAAT